GTGGTCATATCCCAGTTTTGGATGCAGAACTGGCCACACTAGCAGTGGGCAGAACCCCACACTTTCCCTGGCTGGGGAGTGAGGCGACTGCCTCCAACCAGGAAGGAAAGCACACAGCAATCGGTGCCCTGGGGATGTGAAAGACCCCGAGACAGGTGGGCCTTGGGGAGGGACAGCAGGTCATCGTAAGCTTGGTCAGGCCACGGCCGCCTACTGCAGCTGCTGTACCAGACATGGTGTCATTGCCTAAGAAAATTCACACAGGCCTCGTTTGTACTACTGTGGCTCCTTTTCTCCGGCGCTGTCCCTAAGGCCTCCAGACAGTGTGCCCACCTCGGGGCCCACAGCGCTACAGGCCTGAGTCACAATGCAGTTTGTAGGGATCTGATCACCTTTCCTTCCACACCCATCATCCAGGCCCATTACACAGATAACACCATGCTGACTGGACCTGGTGAGCAAGAATCAGCAACCGCTCTCGATGCGTGGGCAACACACCTGTGTGTCAGAGGTGGGAAAGAAATCCAACAAACTCAGCGCCTTCTACCTCAGTGATGTGGCGTCAGGGTCTGGGCACCCTGAGGCAGCCCTTCCCGGGAGAAGGAGATGTTGCTGCACCTGACCCTCCTACCACCAAAACTAGCCCACATGCCGATGGCCTCTGTGGATCTTGGAGGTAACATTCCTCACTTGGGTTGTTCCTCGGCCTTTTCCTGCGGCCAGCAAGGCTGCAAGTGGAGCCAACACCAGAGGAAGCTCTGCGGCGGGCCCCATGAGCCAGCGGGCCCCTGTGCTTGGAGTGTCAAGGCAGACATGGGTGCTGTGTGGAGCCTTGGACAGCACAGAGGGCGAAGCACCAGTGGGTGAAGCACCGTCAGGCCCATAGGATTTTGGAGTGAAGCCCTCTCTCCTGTGTGGATCACTACCTTCCATCTGAGAAACAGCTCTTGCAGCCCCTGGGCCTCCACAGAGACTGAACACTTGCCTGAGGTTTCCCAGGTGACCTCCCTGCTCGGTGTGAACAGGGTGTCAACTGACCCACCAGGCACAAAGCGGGGCATGCATGGCAGCCCCCGCCCTCAAACAGAAGTGGCGCCTATGTAATGAGGCCTGACAGGCACCAGTGAGCTAGGTGAGGAACTGGCCCAAACGCCATGGTCTCCATCCTTCTCTCCCGCCTGCATCCTGCCTCGTGGGAAGGGCCCCTCAGTCAGCTGCCAGGGGAGAAGGCGTGGGCAGGCAGACAGGGAGGCACTGCTTCTAAGGACACCTCGGAGAGGCAGCGCTCAGGAAGTCCTCCCGGGGGTGGACCTCAAGCAGTGCACCTGGTCGTTCCTTTGCTTGGAAGGAGACGGGCCGGGTGTATGGCTATAGGCTGTGTCATGGCTGCAGCCAATAGGTCGGCTGGATGGTCAGGATCTTGGAAAGAAGGTGACTGGAAAATTGGTAACAAAGGGCAGACCTGTGAGGGTTAATTTTAAATGCCAATTTGATGGGGCTGCAGGGCACCCAGATATTTGATCAAACGTTATTTCTGAGTCTTCCTGCGAGGGTGTTTCTAAAAGATCCGCGTCTGTACTGGTAGCCTGAGAAAGCAGGCTGCCCCCGCCCCTCCATGTGGCGGGCCCGCCAATCCATGGAAAGCCAGAACAGAACAAGAGGCCAAGGAATGGGAACTCTTTCTTTCTGCCTGTCTTCCAGCTCAGACGCTGGTCTTCTCTGGCCCTCAGACTCAGAGTAAAACTGACTCCCCCAGATCCCCTGGTTCTCAGGCCTTCCAACCGGACTAGACGGCACCATCAGTTCTCCCGCGCCACCGGCTCCCCCGCGCCACCGGCTCTCCTGCGCTGCTTCACAACAGGGTGGCCTTGTTCATGGGGATCATTGCTGAGAAGCCGAGAAGCATGCATCTCAGACTGACAGCTCTTCAGCCTCAAGACAACCTGAGGGGCTAGTGAGCATTCCTTCGGATGTCAGCCACAGCTTACAGAAAGCGCCCAGTTCAGAAGACAAAGAGGGAGGGAAGTTCAGGAGATTCACTACATGCAACAGAGGACACAGATCGAGCAAAGAATCGCAGTACAAGGAAGACCAGGGTCATAAAAGCCTCCTGGGCTCAGGGCTGCAACCAGGCCTCCTAGACTGTCCCCCGACGATTTAGAAGCGATACCATCATTTAGATGCTTCTTCCTTACTCCCCAACTTTCAGCTCATGTGTTTACTGCACATTAATGTTCTTTTTCTTATTTAGTGTATTCCTTCAGTGTATGTTTACTGGGCAACCACTCCGTGGAAAGCACTGTCCGAGGCCCTGGTTTAAAAACAAAATAATGTCCCTGAGCTTACACCCTTACATCATAATGAGAAAGACAACCAATACAAAAAAATGTCACTTTCAAGGTTAAGGCCTCTTATACCCAATATATAGGACATGTGTTGGTAGCTCTTACTTTGTCCATAAACAGAACAAAGAAATAGCCCTGATTCAGAGTAAATGAAGGTCATTAGTACAGTATGCCATTTCTACGAGTAAAACCGAAAACAAAGGTAAATCCACTGTCACACCATCAGCCAAGCCTTAGACACCTCACTGCCCGTGAAACCCAGCCCCAGGGCAGCAAGCACAATGCGCACACACTCACAGAAAGGCCGAGGGGAGCACTCCCTTCTTCTCCAAGCATGATGGACAACACACACAAGAACGCTCTGTGGATTCTCTGTCACCAAGGTGTCTGCTCATCACGAACAGCTCTGTCACTCAGGAACCGCAGCCATGGCTGCCAGGCTGCTTCCTGCCGTGCAGAGTAACAGACTTACTCTGTGTCCATTTCAGTAAACACCTTATTTTCCTTATTTGAGTTTTTCAACTGCTAATTGAAAACTAGACTAATTTTTTTATTCACTTAATAATCAGTTTTAACCTGACTAAATTCACCTGGTCCTCAGATGTCAACAACTCCATTGTTTCTAGTTTCAAGCATGACAGTGACCATGAGGCCAGGTTAAAATATGCAATTAGAATGAATTTTAAATTCTTAGATCAAAAAAACAGCTTATGCAATATTAAAAGACAATTGGGAGGAAAATGTTTGCAATTAACCTGATAGACAACTAATTACTTAAAATAAAAACACTGCAAAAATAGGCAAAGAACACAGGGAGGCAATTTACTAAAAAGTATGACCTATAAATGTGCTTTATAAATGTCCACCCGCACTAGTAACTAAAGAAATATAAATTTACTGGTCAGGATGAAGCCGCCTGCAAAATTCATAGTTTTTTCTGAAGGATAAAGAGGAAATTTCTTTTTAAAAACCTGTAACGTATGCTTACCTGGAAAGTGGACTGCATAAATTTAAGGGCAAACATTTACTTATAAAGATGACAAATTATAGCTCTCTACTTAAAACCCTGGAAGAGCCATGATCATAATTGGCCCTAAGTGACACGCAGCCTGGGCGGGAAGGGCACAAAGCAGGTGGCAGGCCCCGCGGGCGCCTCCGTCAGTGGCAAATCCACAGCTGAGAGCTGCAGGCCACAGAGTCCACAGGACTTCCCACCGTACTGGACTATGAAGAAAAGTGATTTTCTTCCCTATAAATGCTGTTTTCCAAATCTTCTACAGCAAACATGTATTTATTTAAACACACACAAAGGAGTAAGAGAAAAGGTATATGTATAAACTCCAGATGAATTAAATAGTTAAATGCAAACAAAACCATTTTTTTAAATTTTTTAATCCTCACAGAGGATATGTTTATTGATGAGAGAGATAGAGAGTAAGAGAAAGCGAGAGAAACACCAATGTGAGAGAGAAATATCAATCAATTGCCTCCTGTACACACCCACTCAGGAATCAAACCCACAACCCTTTTGCTGTACAGGACAACACTCCAACTGAGAAAAAGGAAGTATTTGTCACAACTTACAAAGGGGAGGGATCTTCTAAACACAAAAACCATGGAGGCCACCGGGGCTCCTGGGAGGAGGCGGCAGCGCAGCGCGCCGGCCGGAAAGTCTTGAGATTTATTTTTTTTTCTTAAAAAACTCTAAGTTGAGGAGGGTGGGGCAAAACGACTAAATCCCATCCTCCTGTGATTCTTTAGGCGGAAAACTGTCAAAATCTGTGGTAAAAAGAGATTTGTTTGCCCCGTAAAAAAAAAAAAATAAATAAATAAATAAATAAATAAATAAACACAAAAACCATTAGAGAATCCAAAGGAAGAAAAAGACCGTACAGCATAAAAATGTAAAACTTATATAAATTAAAAAAAAAAAAATTCAAAAGCAAAATAACTACAAAAACATATTTATAAAAATCAGATAAAAAGCTGTGTTTGACACATAGAGATCACATAGTTTAAAATAGAAAAAAAAATGAGCAAGAGACTATGAAACATATAAAAATATATACATTAGACCTTTCTAGATATACAGTGTATTACAAATTAAAATGCCCTACCTCACTAAAAATGTCTAGAAAATGGCAGAGCTAAGATTGGAATGCAGATTTTTTTGGCTTCAAAGTAATATACCATGTTGCCTACATAACTCATTATTTTTTTTAAAACCACATCAACTTTAAAGTTTGTACTTGATAAAAAGTTTCCCCTTCTACCACCCATTTTGAAATGGCTAGAGAAACTAATAGCAAATAAATACAATGGAAACTATGGCTCCTTTTCCAGGTCGTCAATGGAGCTTGAGTTCTTCTGGCATGTTCAGATAAAATCAAAATTCTCTTGCTAAATATTTAAATTAAAATGTACTTATCAGAATCCTGGTCAGTATTAAACTACTCCTTGAGTAAGTAAAAAAGATAAGCCTTTCACAACTAACAGGAAAAGGGAGGTGAATAAAATCTGGTTTTCTGATTTTATTAAGGGCTCAAGTGATTTATCAAAGATGCAAATTATGAAGAAACTATGAAAAGGAAAACCTAAAAATACAGTGCGGTAGTAAATTAAAACATTAATTGTGATTAAGCCAGACATACTAACCATGGATCAGGGAGCCATTGAGCCACTGAATGTAGTAGCTGTGAGGAAAGGAAAGGAGGATTTCGTTGCTGATGATGGAGAAGGGTAAGAGCAGCACAGCCCCCGCGGACACTGCGAGTGTGAACGTGCACAGAAACAACCTGGAAGAGAAGAGAAGATGTCACCAGCCATCGGGGAAGCAGGGAATGCGGCCGTCATTCAAAGTGAATAAAAATTCTGAATTTTTTATCTAAAAAAAATTATGGGAGAATTTCATGAAATCTATGCAAATGAAAGACAAATGACACATGTGCTATCCTAGGAGTTAAGCTAAATCAATTCTAGAACGCCTCCCTCTGCAGGGATTGGTGGATCTAAAGAGGAGGCCCCAGAGGACACATGTACTGAAAGTAGAGGCCTCACACTCAGAGAATGAACCGTAGGCTCTCTCCTCCTTTATATGTGAGTGTTCATTTCACATTGTATTTCATTAATAGCTTTGGCAATCTATGATAAAAGCAAGGCAACAGCTATTTTAGGTGAAAAAATACATGTGAATGCAGTATGAAAAACTCGTATTTCAGGGGAACGCTTACAAAGCCACTGGTCTGCTACCCCTTAAAATGGGTAAAGTGTAAATAAATTGTACTAAAAAACAGAAGGGATCATTAAACAGTATTTAAAACACTACTTTGTCATTTTTAAAAATAAGATATCTCTAATATGTACTAATTTAGAAAGGTGTCTAAAACAAGTCAGGAACACAAATTGTAGGAAAGACAGGTGATAAATAGAAAGCATGACCCTCCCCGCAAAAAAAGGCACATATATATACACACACAGAAAAATAGAGATAGAAACACTAGCACAGCACATATCGAAGCTGGGGAGGAGGAGAAGAGGGTGGTTTTCAAAGGCTCTCACTCTCAGTCCTACATCTGCAACATTTAAATTTTATAGCTATTTTTTAAGATTATTTCAAATAGCAAACAAAATAGGAGTCTCACCAACATTAGAGAGGGAAACTTAATTTAATAGTCAGCCCATTAAAGAAAGCATAGGAAGAATGTGAAAATGTAAGGAAAATCATCACACTAAATGCTCCAAATCCACATCTGATGGAGTCACTTGGCAGCAATGCCACCTTCTGGTGGCCCACAGAAGTGTTTCCTGCTTAAGAGCCTACCCACCAGGAACCTGTTCAGTCACTGATGGATTTGCATGAGACCACGTGATGCACAACAAAGCACAATCCAAACCAGCTCCAGCAGACGTCCTTGAAGGCTCTGCTAACAGGACATGTTTCCCAGTCAGAGCAGGAGACAAGCCCTCACCTGGGCCACTGCCCACTGCAGCAGTGACGGCGAGTGGCCTTGAGCGAGGCCGTCAGTCTTGTCCTCTAGCCAGGGAGGAAGCATCCTATTGACTTCCATCACCTCTTTCAAAGCTGGAAGTGAAAACAGCACCAGGTGCTGCACAGCCACCGAGGCTTTTCCACACCGCACTCCGCCCCATGGTCCCCAGTCAGTCACCTCACCTCCTTGTGCCCCACACGTCAGTGGGTTCTGTGGCTCCAGGCCAAGGCCACTGTCCCCAGAGTCGCCCTATACATCCCTCAGCATTTCCCTTCTCCCATTCTTGGCTTCCACGACACTCGGACCACAGACCCAGCAATGAAGGCCAGCCACAATTTCCAAATCAAAGCCCAGACCTGTCCACGCTTCCGCAGGCAAACAAACTGAGTATCTGAAGTCACAGAACCCCAGGAAACCCTGATCACACGGGCACGGCGACTGGGCCGCAGCTCTTTCCCCAAGACTGCAGCCCACTACATTCCCAGAGCTGGCGCTGGCCTGGAGAGGCCCAAAAGACCGCAGCATCCTCCCGAACTCCCTGGGGAGCTAGGAGGAGAGCTGCCCCTGAGAAGCTGATGGGACCCGCTGGAGTGGCTCCGTGGTTGAGCATCAACCTATGATCCAGGAAGTCATGGTTTGATTCCTAGTCAGGTTGTAGGCTCGATCCCCAGGGTCAGGTGATCAATGATTCTCTCTCATCATTAATGTTTCAATCTCTCCCTCTCCCTTCCTCTGCAATCAATTTTATTTTTATTTTATTTATTTATTTATTAAAAAAAAAAAAAAAAAAAAAAGCTCTAACTGGTTTGGCTCAGTGGATAGAGCGTCAGCCTACGGACTGTAAGGTCCCAGGTTCAATTCAGGTCAAGGGCATGTACCTTGGTTGTGGGCACATCCCCAGTGGGGGATGTGCAGGAGGCAGCTAATCCATGTTTCTCTCTCATCGATGTTTCTAACTCTCTATCCCTCTCCCTTCCTCTCTGTAAAAAGTCAATAAGATATATTTTTTAAAAAGCTGATGGGAAGAAGGTAGGTGCCGGCGCAGGGTCCCTAAGGCGAGGCCCTGCCACGTGGGAACTGCAGGAAAGTGCCCTGGGAAGTGATGGATGGTTTCAGAAACGCCCTTTCCGCACGGAAGGGCTCCGTGGACAGGACCACAGTGCCTATGTGGGGCGAGAGGGGTCACAAACCTTCCTGGCTTTTAGCCTGAGGACATGGACAGTCTCGCTGATCAGCCGTTGATGGAGGAGGCTACAGGGGAGGAACAAGTTCAGCTTGGACACTTGCAGGCACCATGTCCATGAGACAAATGTCACAACCACCCCTGAACTTTTCCGATGGCCCTCCGATGGCCTTGACTCTGCCCACCCCATACTGGTCACATCCTCTCATCACTGGTCCAGGTGGTGTCTGCCAGGACTCTCCGTATGAAGTTACTCCTCCCCTTCATCATAAGCACTGTGTGGGAAGCTAAGGAAACCAAGAGCATGTCCTGTTCCTGGTCAAACAACGTATCCCTCTGGTGACAGCCACGGGCACTCAGGCTCCTATTTCACCCGTGCAGGATCCATTACACCCATTACTGTGATGAACAGACTCGCCCTGGTTTGGCGAGAAAGCCCCTGCGGGCCTGAGTCTTTCTGACACGTGCCCTCATCCTTTGGCACACCTGCGGCCAGTGCGTCCGGGCCGCGTTCCTGTCCTGAAAGCTGTACTCAGAGGCACTCACTGCTCTTGGGTGCTGCGTCCCCAGGCTCAGTGGCAGGCCAACCCTGGGTGCACTGGTACTGTGTGTAGATGCACGCACCCACATGCACATCTGCAGTGACCCAGTAACTCTGAAAACCATGAGTCCACAGTGATACCGCCACCTCCACTGCGCCAACTCAATGTTCTCCTTCGTTGTCCCCCGACTGGGACTGGTTCCTGTCATCGCTAACGGACAGGCCCCACCTCTGCGATCAGTGTCCCATCACACTGACTCCCATCCTATGCAGACGTGCCAGCTGCTCAGGTGACCCCCCATTTTGGACCTTCCTGCCCTGTGCCCTCCCCACCTGAACTGTCACACCCATTCCAGGCCATGCCTCGAGGGCTCTGCCATCCTGCATAGACACCCTCCCTACATGCCAGGATCCCCTCTGCAGGGACTTTTCCTCCCTGCTCTCAAACCCTAAGCCCACTCTGGCCACCCTCCAGGGTGAGACACATGCGAGGCCCTCTCCTCACAGGCTGTTTCTGTTTGCCAGTTAGGCATGTATTTTATATTGACCACTTCCATTCCAGCCCAGTACCAGGCAGAGGGTCGCTGTCAGCAAGTGGAATTCTGGTTGGGGAGGGCAGCGGGAGTTAACCTGGGGGCACAAGGAGGGCAGAATAAAGGCCCCGAGGAGCAAAGAGAGCGTGAAGGTGGGCTCTAGAGCAAGGGGGGAGGCGCAGGAGGGGTTCTGTGCTGGCAGCGCTGGAGTCACCCTGGAGCCCCCTCTGTGCAGGCGGCTGGCAGGCACCGCACTGCAGAACTCTCAGAACACTGACCACATCCGTTTCCTGCTCAGGCTCCACCTCTCCTGTTTCACCCTCTTCAGAGCCCCCACAACTCCCTTCAGCGGGAGGAAGGCAGGCCAGGAAGAGGGTCAGGGCACAGGGGATGACCTCGAGACCACGGCCACTGTGCAAAGCCTGACCATCGCTTGTGCACCTGCTGTTTACGCGCACAGCAGCTCTGCACAGCAGGCGCAGGCGCAGGCCCAGCTCACGTGCCAAACTCAAATCTCAGCTTCTCCATCTCGACTCAAACTAATCTGGGTTCGAAATTTAAATCCAGGTCCAGTTCTCACTCATCCCATCACAGAAGGAAGAAAAGGCAGGGACGGACAGAAAGAGCAATGGTGAGGGGACAGGGGAATGAACTGGGTTGCCACCCCCTCCACGCTGCCTCCTGACTCTGCGGTGGGTGCACAGCCATCTCCCTCCGGAAGGTGTCCGTGTCACCACACGACACTCGGACACGCACCTGCCACCTGGCTAAATCCGGGCGAGGTGCGGGCCCCACCAGTAAACTGCATATTTTCCTAAAATATCCTGCAAGGAGTACGGCCAAAGTGACCGGCACTCAATGATTTATAAATTATTGATCTACAAATGTACTTCAGTAATGGACCACCAAAGTGGAACAAAGACCACGCAGCGGAGAGGCCCATCTCAGTACTTTAGCCCGGAGGGTTTCGCTGGACACAGTTCCTGTCCGCCGGCAGCCAGTGTGGAACCCACTGTGCTTTCTGAAGTGAGTGAGTGTGTCATTGTGTTTTTACGGAAGCAGGAACTTGGACAGAGAACGTTCCCAAATGTCACGGTGCTGGGACTAAAATGTAAGATTCCTAATCCTGCACATTCAAAGCAACACATTTTGGGGCTAAGTTTTAGAGCCATTCAGAGAATGCCCAGTATGGAGTTACAGTTGCTTTCCCTGGGTGTTTAAATAATTTAAATCCAAATCCAGTACAGCAGGATCAGTCCACACTCATTTTTCAGTAATAAATCATTTGCTGGTTGAAAGCATTGCCTTATTGAGGTGAATTCAAATAAAATCAACCACTTTGATGCATACAAGTCAGTGGATTCAGAGCATTCCCCATGAGCCTTCTCACCACCCAAGTAACACCTCAAACCCACCGAGAGTGCTCTCCATTCTCCTCCTCTCAGCCCCAAGGAACCGCCACCTGCTTTTGCTGAATTTACCTATTCTGAACATTTCTCATAAATGGAGTCAACACTGGTGACCTTTGGTGACTGCCTCATCTCACTGAGCATCATGTTTTAGGGGTTCACGCATGTGGTAGCAGGTGTCTGCATTCCTCTTCATGGCCGAGTGACGCGCCTGTGTAGGGGAAGCGTGTGTGTGTGTGTGTGTGTGTGTGTGTGTGTGTGTGTGAGAGAGAGAGAGAGAGAGAGAGAGAGAGAGAGAGAGAGATCATACTATCTGTCTCCCTCCTCTCTCCTCTCTCTCCTCCTCCCCAGCACCTCAGCAGAAGCTGGGTAATCTGACACTAACCATGAAGGGACAACAGACAAACCACATGACTGGCCTGAAATGTGCAAATGTGTTGACAAGGTCAGGGAGTCAAAGGAAATACTGAAGTCGAGTTTCATCTGCGGTGACCACAGGGCCACAGCCCTCCCTGAAGTGTGGGGTTCTGAACCAGGGACAACACAAGGACGGCAGCAAACTGGAGTGCAGCAAGCTGGGACTGTCAATGCCAACTTCATGACGCTGGTGGCTGTACGGTGGACCGGCAGGAGAATTCCCTGTTTACAGGAATTAGATACGAAAGCATCCTGCAGAAATGGAGCAACTTCTCCAAGGGCTCAGGGAACACAAGTCTTTGTATTGTATTTCTACCTTTCCTATAAATTTGAGACTACTTCAAAACATTTTTAAAGTATCAATGTAAACAATCGAAAAGCAGATGTCTCCAATGTAGTAGGCAAAGCTGTGGAATGTCTGCTTCATTGAGCAAACCTGATAGAAAAGAATTCACTGCTTTCCACCTACAGCAGTTTGATTCCTCAGAAAAATTAAAGGGAATTTCTATCCTGTGTCACCAGCATCCATGAAGCAGAAGAACTCTTAGCCCTGAAAGGGCTACCCCCCTGCTCACAGGAGGTCTGTAACCACACAGATGGCTCTCCCTCTTCCAAACCAGTCCAGGCTGCTCAGCAGACCATTCAGAAGCCGGGAGCTTGCTTTCTTAATGGTCCAGCAACTTTCCCAGCCTGAAGCCCATGTCCAGACTAAATCTTCTGAAGTTAAAACCTGTTGGCTTGCCCAAGCTGACTTGCTCAATGGTTGGAGTGTCTCAGAACTGAAGAGTCCCCAGGTTCAATCCCAGTCAAGAGCTCGGACCTCAGCTGCAGGCTTGATCCCAGTTGGGTCACATGTGGAAGGCAACCAATCAATGTGTCTCCCTCCCTTCAACTAAAAATCAATGGAAAAAAAATATAGATCCTTGGGTGAGGATTAACAAAAAAAATCTATCAGCTCCTTAAATAAGCTAATTTAATAAGAGATAATCAATCCTTCAGTATTCATGCATATTTGCCTATGTGTGTTTTCCGAAGATAGGATGAAGGTGTTGTAATACTTTAGGTAAATTTCTCCCATATTTCTGCCCAAAAGGTAGAATTAAATTTTGAGGATTTATGACTGAATTAAAAACAAAACAATTAAACTTTAAAATACATACGAAATCCTGTTGACTATGGCATCTTCATCTTCTTGTTCATCTGCAAAAATGTTTAAGGTACTAACATTATTTTCTCTTCCAACAAGATGCTTCATTCATTTATAAAAAACAAACAAACATATAAACTTATAGCAGCAATTATTGATGGAAACTTTTTAAACAGCACAGTGTTTATTTCAGTACAGATTCATATTTAAATTTCATTACATGAGATAAGAGAGAATATGGTTAAGGAATAGTGTTTTGATTAATCAAAATCCTATTGACAAAATGGTCATATGTAATTAAAATATCCCAAACATTCAGATCTCAGGAAAATGAAGTTTAGTAGGCCCTAAAGACTACTATCACGCTTACTGTTATAAAATGTAAATGAATTTGCTAATGAATGAGATTTTCTGATTAATAGCCAAAAAAAATAAATAAAAAGTTTGCTATAAAATTAAAATTCAGAATCTAAGGGCTCATATACTTTCCTAGAGTTTGAGTTTGTCATTGGCAGTGGCCACCCTAACCCACCTGGAGTCCCATGCACCACACTCATCATGGCTGTCCAAGGTACATACAAGAATGTGTCCGCTTGGCTAGAGTTCACTCAGCCCCACCATGGCTACAGCCATCTCTCTGTCCGCCCATGTAAACTTACCAAAGAAATTTGACCCGATTATAAGGGTACTCACAATCCCAGCCCCTGCCCCCATGCCTACTGGGCTAGTCCTCAAAGGCTCTCTCTGTAGGCCTCTGCCATTCTGAGTGACCACCTGCTTCCCTGCCAATGGCCCACTTGGCCATTCTCATAGTCCAATCTCCATTCTTAATTACAGACACTATACGTAGCTTTACAACCAAAGGGACCACAAAATAATGCAGTCACAACTAACTTTTATACTATGGTGCCCACTCCAATCAACCCTCAAACCTTAAAGAATGTTTTTTTTCAATTATATCTCAACCCTCTGCCAACTAGGTCCAGAGTCTTTATCATCTCCTCCCCATAACTACTCAAAAAAAGCATCTAATAAATCTCCACTTTTCCTGCTCATCATCCCATTTCCCCTAAAGCACTGCTTTATAGGCATTCATTAATATCGCCTGCCTCCCCGCAACCCTTTCTTTCTTCCCTGCTCTACTCTGTGTCCATAATCTATGAAATCTGATGTCAAAACATCTTGTAAACTAGCTAAGATACTATCTTGGATCCCTGCAAAATTTTGAGAGATTATGGAATCCCAGGAGCATGTCAGTGCTGTCACAGAGCCAAGTTCTAAAGTAACATTCCAGAGCAAAGAGTAGTTCCTGACTGCTTTCAAATGTCTGACAGACAAGTGTGATATGCTGACATAATGCAGGGAATCCTTAATATATGGAATCCCCAAGTATCCACACAGCCCTAGTATCAGCACTACATCACAGGCAGAAAATCCTATCACTTCTAGAAAACAGCAGAGGTTTAACAGAAGGCAGTGAGGTAACTGTTCAGGTGCTTATAAAACCCTGGCACAAAAAACCTGTGAATTATTAAACAGCAAAAAGTTCTTTAAAAAAAGAATAAAGATATAGTGGTCCCTCTGGCGAGACAGGATATACAGTGTGTCCCAAAAACATGTACACACACTGTAACAGCTGATGGCGCAACTGATGCTTCTTTCTTTTCAGCCAGACTAAGCTTTGAACAAAGTAAATTCATTCTAAATGCTTCTGGAAGTTTAAAAATGCAGCTGAAGTACAACACTGCCTTTATAATTATTCAAAGTGTGTATTTTTAAAAATGTATTTTTAACAGCTGATAACTCAATTTCCACTCCTTTTCAGGTTTAATTAATTTGAAATAATATGTGAAGCCAACTAAGCTTTAGAACAAAGAAATTTATCCACTAGACTTTTTGTGGGGATATGGAAGAGATAAAGCTCACGGTACAAAACCGGCAACAGGTGACGAATTGAGGGCGCACAAGTACGGAACGCAAGGATTCCTGATGTTTGCAACCCCATTGCTTCACGTTATCAGCAGTGACTGGACCAGAATGGTCATCAGTTTGGAAACAGATATTGACAAAAGAAAAAAAGAAAAAAAAGATTCATTTCTATAGATTCTTTTAAATTTTGAAAATGAACTCTATGTTAATAAACACTGACTTTATAATCATTCAGAGTGTATACATTTTTGGGACATCCTATATATGAAATACTAAAAGGATGCGGTGTTAGGGAGACTCTACATTCTGTATCACTTTAGAGCCAGAGTTGGGGGGGGTTGGGGGGAGAGGGGAAATCATTCAGTGTGGCCCTGCCAAGGTATTAGGAGTGGGTTAAATGTTTGACCCAATATAGCCGGCTAATTTTTAAGTTGATAATGTTGTATGGCCCACAAATGATATTATAATCCAAAAGGCTCTTGACAGAAAGAAGGTTTCCCACCCCTGTTTTAGAGAAAGAAAAGTATTCTGGTGGTCAGAGCAATGATGGGATGGGGCTGAATGTGTTCAAAATCAGAGCCAGTCACAAGGAACCAAATATCCTTACAAACTTGGGAACTTCCAGTGTACTGAAGGGCTGTATTCTTAGTTGGGCTGTAAGAATGTGACAAACAGCCCTAACCGGTTTGGCTCAGTGGACAGAGGTCGGAAGGGCTAAGGCCTAAGAAGATGACCCTACAGGGGTCAGGTTCCCTGGAGGTTATTTTTAGTGCTCTTGGCACCGGGCTCCTGACTCCTTCAGTCCCGGGCCCGGTGAGCACAGTGCCACACGGACGGGCACTGTGGAGCCCTGGTATCAGTCCTAGACCCCGGCCATGAAAATCAAGTTCCCATTACAGTGTTTACTTGCCTGATTTCCTCTTGTATCTTGTGATGATGAAGTAGGAAACGATGTAGAGAATGGCAAAAAGAAGGAAACATATCTGAAACAGAACAAATTTAACACATCATTTACACTTTTTGCATATCTTTTTTTAAATAATAGAAAATACATCCATGATATTTATAGAAAAAAAGTATTTTATTACAAAGTGAACATTTTAAATATTTTGCTAATATCGATATTAAGTTTGGATAAAATATTAATTTATATGAACTAGTTTTAATACCATTTTCAGTAGAGATTTTTCTTTTCATAACTTGAACAAATTGTTTTCAAAATCATGTGGATATATAAAACCAGGACATCACTGACAACTCTGAAGTAAAGTCAGGGAGAGGCTACCAGCCCCACCACATGTGAAAACATACAGGAAGCTCTGGTCACATGGAAAAAGTGTATCAGAGACCAATAAAACAGTCTACTGTATGATAATCAAGTAACATTTTATACACACAGAGGCATCACTAATTAATGTGACAATAATTAGATAAACATACCACATATCAAAATAAGCTGCCGTTGAACAGACTCTAACATTGATCCCATTTCATTTCTATCAGATCTGGGCATGAAAGGCCACAAGGATGGGTCCAGAAACAGAGCGCGTTACAGTCAAAGACAGGTATGCTGGGAAGAGAGGCTCGTCAGTGCAGGGACCACAGCGAAAGACCTGGAACTCTCTCAGATCAAAGCCTTCAGGTGATGATGAAGTCTAGGGAGCACCCCATACGTGCATTTCTGAGTGACGGTTGGCAGTGTGTGACTGAGAACGACCTTGGACCTGCATGATGGACATACACTGTACTGCAAGCATGTCTGACTTGCGGCCGGTGGGCCGCATCCTCATTTAATAATAGCCTGCGGAATGACAAACTGAGGTGGAGAGGACCACTATGAGCCTCTGTTAAAGTCCTCCGCTACATGCGGACAGTGACAGGAAACAATACTGACATGACTCAAAGGACCAGTCAGGAGCATCCAGGACAGCCTGCTGCTGGGAGCCCCAGGAGCCCTGGCAGGTCAGAGAAGGCACCTCCATCACCACCCTCCCTTAGCATCTCAGCGTGGGAAGTGGGTAGGAAAGGAGCGGCAATTTTTGGTGCAGAAATGTAAACAGGGCGTTGTTTACAATGAAAGGGAAGTCCCAGAGGCTGGGAGCAATGGGAGAAGTCACGGGCCAGAAACACTGTGAAATAAGAAGTCCAAGCCAGAGAGATCAGATGACCAGGGAATCTGTGATGGGGCTGGCCAGAACTCATTCCTTCAGCAAGTACACACTGTGGCCACCAGACACCAGGCACTCGCTCTCCCAAGAACTGAGCACAGCAGCACCACAACCGAGTTCCGCCTCACCGAGCTCCACTGCAGAGAGAAAACTGATAACAAGTACGGGAGTCCACAGGGTGTCAGATGGCAACCAGTGAGTGCCAGGAGGGTGAGGGCCACCCACTAACAAGGTGACATCTGGGGAAAGTCGTGGGAGAGGAGAGAGCAAGACATGCAGAGATCTGGAGAGGTGGCTGCAGAACCCTGACCAAAGTCGATAAAGAGAGAATTGGAAACAAATACAAGCAGACAGTTCTTGCCAGTTTTATGATAATGGGAAGCAAAGGAAGTATGAAGGAAGGGGGAAGTCATGAGGGGTTTTTAAGTTGGGAAGAGTTACAATGGTTCTAGCAATATCCAGTAAAGAGAAATCACTGATACAAGAAAGAAAACAGACTTGCTGAAGAAATGAGCCAAGTTGAGGGGCTAAGTATAAACATCCACCTGTAAGGAAGAGGAGATAGAGGAGAAGCAGGAAGGGGGGAAGAGCATGAGACAAAAACATACAAGTGCCACTGCAGGTGGGTAAGCACGCGAGTAGAGGAGGCCAAATATTCTCTTTTGGTGGCTTCTGTGTTGTCAGCAAAATGGAAGCAAATTCACGGAGAGTGGGAGATGAAATGGACGGACAAGAGACGGACGGTGAGATGAAACAGCCTTTAAAGTTCCAGGCCAACCAGGCCAGAGCTCCAGGCAGCCTGGAGGCCTGAGGGCGCTGTCTGGTTCCCCGAGGCTGAGGCGATGCAGACAGACATCCCATGTCCTTTGGGAGACATCTGAGCCTGTTTCTAACAGGTTCCCTACTCTCTCCTGCCCTGTACAGCCAACATCTTCAACTTCACTCTCCACCTCCCTCACTCTGCCAACACCAGTGTCACCTCCCTCCTATTGCCCAACTCGGCATGCCCTGGCAGTGGCCAGCAGTGACCCAACAGCCCAGCTCCCGAATTCACTCAACCTCCACACTGCAACTTGCAAGCCACAAGCTTCCTCCTTCTCTGCTGCGCTCCCAGGCAGCATGGCTGGCTCCCCGCCCGCCAGCCTTTAAACACCATCCTTCTCTGTGATTCCTGAGAACAGATATCAATTCTCATTCCACAAGCTCTTCACAGGTTATGTTAAATCCCTGCCCCAGGAATTTAACAACCAATGCCCAGAAACCCCTGGACACTGTTTGAGCAACACTGGCTTAGGGCATTAGCAAGAGTGAGTGAAATGACTGGCCATGAACCCTAAGTCCAGGAGAAACCAGGACGGGTGATGGATGCGAGCGGACGTTGCTGTGGAAAAGCAGCTGCAATAAGGGAACTTGACCAACAGAGCTGGAGGAGCAGCTGGTGGTGCTTAAGGAATGTTTGGGGTTTGTTTTTTTCATTGGTTTCAGGAATTCTGGGGAGTTAGTGCAGAAGTGGTAGATGAGAAGGCATGAAAGTTGACCACCAAAAGGAAATCAAGGCACTAAATTACCAACCATTTAGACAAATGTAAAGTAAGTCAGATGAGTGCCACTGCAGGTGGGTAAGCAAATGGAAAAGCAAGTCATTCAAGAGCAGAAGCAAGATTAGCAATTACAAAAGTGAACGGATTCCTCACTCGAAAATAACAAAACAATTGGAACAGAGGTCACAGGCATGGCTGGACCATTTCCCCAGTTCCCCTAAAATGAGTGTCTTCAGCAGAGAGACAGACCCAAAAGATGAGTGAAATGCAAGCAAGCCCAAAGACACTTCCTGTTCTCCTACAGCGGTGGGACAAAAGGAAAGGTCTCACCACAAACAGGAGGAAACTGTAACAAGGAGAAGAGGGCCCTGGGGTTCTGGAGGAGAATCGGGGAAGGAAGAGCAAGGCGATGGGAGCTCGCCAGCAGAAACCATCCCGGGAGCATGGCCTCTGCCCGCTGACCCAGGCTCTTCAGCCTCTCTGGAGCCCCTTAGTCCTGATACAGATCACGAACAGCTAGGCATTTCCCAAGTAACCTGATAAAACATTGAAAATGCACGGTCGCCCCGCCGCTGGGTGGCTCAGTTAGCTGGAGCATCGTCCTGCGCACCAAAAGGTTGCAGAGTTGATTCCCAGTCAGGGCACATACAGGACGCAACCCATCTACTCCTCTCTTCCTTCCTCTCTCTGAAATTAATAAACATATAAACATATCCTTGGGTGAGGATTAAAAAAATCATTAAAAGCTAATATCCTAAATTCCAGGTGTAAGATCTGAACCTAAATTCAAACTAGAGCATTATAATCAGGCTATACTTTCTGGCTTTTCATTTAAGGCCTATGGGATTCAAGGTCTTCAGTGACTGAAACATAAAGAGTGCTGGTTGCCAATGGGCTCAAGAACTGCAATCACCAACACATTTCTTACAAAATCATGGAAGAGATGACAAGTGAAAGCTCATGCATACAGCTTTATTTTAAAGTTGCTAAATCAGCCAAAACCGGTTTGGCTCAATGGATAGAGCGTCGGTCTGCGGACTGAAAGGTCCCGGTTCGATTTCGGTCAAGGACACGTACCTTGGTTACGGGCACATCCCAGTGCGGGGGGGTGCAAGAGGCAGCTGGTCAATGTTTCTCTCTCATCGACGTTTCTAACTCTCTATCCCTCTCAATTCCTCTCTGTGTAAAATCAATAAAAATATTTTTAAAAATAATAATAAAAAAATAATAAAGTTGCTAAATCAAAACAATTTGAGATATTGAGTATCCTTTTCTAAAGCATCTTTCTTGTTGAGAATATTACAGATGTCCCCCTTCCCCCTTAACTCTCCCAATGCCCCCCTCCACCTGGTTCCTGCCCCACTCCAGGCCTTACCACCCTATTGTCTGTGTCCATAGGAATGCATATTACATGCATATAAATTCTTTGGTTAATCTCTTCCCGCCCCCTCTCCCCCTTTCCTTCTGAGATACATCAGTCTGCTCCATGGTTCCATGCCTCTGGTTCTATTTTATTTATCAGTCTATTTTGTTCATTAGATTCCTCGTTCCTTTATTTTTTTTAAATCAATCTTTATTGTTCATATTATTACAAAGGTTCCTCATTTCTTCCCCCCTCCACCAGGTTCCCCCCCCCACCCTCCGCCCCCTTCCCCTCCCGCATTGTCCTCATCCATAGGTGCACAGTTTATGTTCAGTCTCTTCCTCCCTCCCTTTCCCCCGATAGTAAATCCCTTTTCAGATAGTAAATCAGTTACTTAGCATTTTCTCAAATCAATAATACCTCCACATGCCCAAAGATACACTTCACACAAAAGACACTTCCAAATAGGTCAACCAACCTCATCCAGGCCCTGCACAAGGCACTCACAGATCAACACCCCAGCGCTATACAACTCAACATATCCAGATCTAAGCCTTCATCACTTGATTCAGCAGACCCTCAAGTTCCCGCAAAAGTTTCCAGCCAGTCTGAGAGGCAGCCCCGGGGCAGGGGCAGGCGAGGAGCAAGCTGTTCCGGGCCTGACTCCTCGTTCCTTTATTTTGCCTTTTAGATTCAATTTTCAATAGATATATAATCACTGCCATTTTATTGTTCATATATATAGATATATTTACCTTTTTCTCCTTCTTCGTCTCCTTCATTTTCTTCTTAAAGGATATCCTTCAACATTTCATGTAATACTAGGTTGGTGGTGGTGAACTCCTTTAGCTTTTTCTTGTCTGTGAAACTCTTTATCTGACCTTCAATTCTAAATGATAGCTTTGCTGTGT